CGCAGTTTGCACAAGGGATTCTTATCCTGTACAAAAGATATAATTATCTTAATGTCCTAACAACGATACAGTTTTATTAGAGTCTGAAATCTCTGAAATGTTAACTCTGATCGGCATGTACGGGACTACGCCCCTCTTCTCCTGAACTGCTCTCCGTCTCTTCAATCCCAAGCGACGGCAAGTGGCCCAGACGGCGACGAGGAGGAGGAAGAGGAAGGTAAAGAGGGCGAGGGGACGGCTCTTCTTCCCTCCTCTCCCTCTTTACCTTCCTCTTCCTTCTCGTCACTGCTTGTGCCCCATGACGCCTCTGCTGCCTTCTCAGTCGCAGGACCCAAGCAGCAGCAAGAGTCCCAAGTGGCGACGAGGAAGAGGAAGGTAAAGAGGGTGAGGGGGCGGGTCTTCTTCCCTCCTCTCCCTCTTTACCTTCCTCCTCTTCGTCACCACTTGGGCCCTATGATGCCTCCACCTCCTCAATTGCGGGGCCCGAGTGGCGGCAAGAGACCTAGACAGCGACAAGGAGGAGGAAGAGGAAGGTAGAGTGGGCGATGGCTCTTCTTCCCTCCTCTCCCTCTTTACCTTCCTTTTTTTAAAAATATATTTTTATTATTTTATTATGATTTAATACATTTGTTTTACAGCAGAGACATATTATTCAATATAACCTAACTTACTTTTGGCATCTGGTGTTATTTTTCTGCTTATACATATTATCTATCTTTCACCGCAGTGCTCCCCGCCCCCCTTCCAAGCCACAGCTTTTACATGTCACCTCTTTACCTTCCTCTTCCTTCTCGTCACTGCTTGTCTCCTGTGACACCTTTGACACCTCCTCAATCGCGGGGTCCAAGCAGTGGCGGCAAGAGGCCCAGGTGGCGATAAGGAAGGGGAAGGTAAAGAGGGCGAGTGGAGGTCTTCTTCCCTCCTCTCCCTCTTTACCTTCCTCCTCCTCGTCGCCACTTGGGCCCTGCAATGCCTCCACCTCCTCAATTGCGGGGCCCGAGAGGTGGCAGGAGACCCAGACAGTGACGAGGAGGAGGAAGAGGAAGGTAGAGAGGGGGGGCGGGTCTTCTTCCCTCCTCTCCCTCTTTACCTTCCTCCTCTTCGTCACCACTTGGGCCCTATGATGCCTCCACCTCCTCAATTGCGGGGCCCGAGTGGCGGCAAGAGACCTAGACAGCGACAAGGAGGAGGAAGAGGAAGGTAGAGTGGGCGAGGGGATGGCTCTTCTTCCCTCCTCTCCCTCTTTACCTTCCTCCTCCTCGTCGCCACTTGGGCCCTGCAACGCCTCCACCTCCTCAATTGCGGGGCCCGAGTGGTGGCAGGAGACCCAGACAGTGACGAGGAGGAGGAAGAGGAAGGTAGAGAGGGCAAGGGAATGGCTCTTCTTCCCTCCTCTCCCTCTTTACCTTCCTCTTCCTCGTCGCCACTTGGGCACTGCAACGCCTCCACCTCCTCAATTGCGGGGCCCGAGTGGTGGCAGGAGACCCAGACAGTGACGAGGAGGAGGAAGAGGAAGGTAGAGAGGGCAAGGGAATGGCTCTTCTTCCCTCCTCTCCCTCTTTACCTTCCTCTTCCTCGTCGCCACTTGGGCACTGCAACGCCTCCACCTCCTCAATTGCGGGGCCCGAGTGGTGGCAGGAGACCCAGACAGTGACGAGGAGGAGGAAGAGGAAGGTAGAGAGGGCAAGGGAATGGCTCTTCTTCCCTCCTCTCCCTCTTTACCTTCCTCTTCCTCGTCGCCACTTGGGCCCTGCAACGCCTCCACCTCCTCAATTGCGGGGCCCGAGTGGTGGCAGGAGACCCAGACAGTGACGAGGAGGAGGAAGAGGAAGGTAGAGAGGGCAAGGGAATGGCTCTTCTTCCCTCCTCTCCCTCTTTACCTTCCTCCTCGTCGCCACTTGGGCCCTGCAATGCCTCCACCTTCTCAATTGCGGGGCCCGAGAGGTGGCAGGAGACCCAGACAGTGACGAGGAGGAGGAAGAGGAAGGTAGAGAGGGCAAGGGAATGGCTCTTCTTCCCTCCTCTCCCTCTTTACCTTCCTCTTCCTTCTCGTCACTGCTTGTCTCCTGTGACACCTTTGACACCTCCTCAATCGCGGGGTCCAAGCAGTGGCGGCAAGAGGCCCAGGTGGCGATAAGGAAGGGGAAGGTAAAGAGGGCGAGTGGAGGTCTTCTTCCCTCCTCTCCCTCTTTACCTTCCTCCTCCTCGTCGCCACTTGGGCCCTGCAATGCCTCCACCTCCTCAATTGCGGGGCCCGAGAGGTGGCAGGAGACCCAGACAGTGACGAGGAAGGTAAAGGGGAAGAGGAAGGTAGAGAGGGCAAGGAGGGAAGAAGACCTGTCCCGGGAGGGGAGAAGAGGCCCAGGCAGTGGCGAGGTGACTGTCTTTCACTCAGTGTTCCCTCGGTACTTAAATTCTTTTTTTTAAAAAACCCACGAAATAGCGACTCCACGATAAGCGAAGTAGCGAGGGACCACTGTATTGTCAAAGGCTTTCATGGCCTTGGGTTGCTGTGAGTTTTCTGGGCTGTCTGGCCATGTTCTAGAAGCATTCTCTCCTGGTGTTTCGCCTGCACCTGTGGCATGCATCCTCAGAGGCTGTGAGGTCTGTTGGAAACTGGGCATCTTATTTATTTATTTATTTATTTATTTATTTATTTATTTATTTATTTAGACATTTTATATACCGGCCTTCTCACCTCTCTTGAGGGACTCAGACCGGTTTCCAACCATAATATCACAGACAATCTATAACACATCATAATACATATTACAGTAAAACATTAAAACAGCAATTACAATCAATAATTACAATGGTCAGTCGTCCCACTAAATTTGATGTTCATCATTCTCCATCCATATCTCGGGGTGTTGGCTCACTCGTCGAATGCCTGTCTCCATAACCATGTCTTCACCTGCTTCCTGAATGTCAGGATAGAAGGGGCGGTTCTGATCTCCAGTGGGAGAGAGTTCCAGAGTCGAGGGGCCACCACCGAGAAGGCCCTGTCCCTCGTCCCCACCAGGCGCACTTGCGAGGTCGGTGGGACCGAGAGCAGGGCCCCTCCAGACGATCTTAATAATCTTGATGGTTCATAGGGGAGAATCTTGTGTCTGCCTGTGCCCATGCGCCTCCAGCGTTGCCTCCCTGCTCTGCTCCCCTTCCCTTCCGAGTGCTGACCTTGAGCGGAAGGCGCCTGCCCCGTCGGCAGGACCGGAATAGCGTCCTTGAGTGGGCGGTGGCAGGATTAGCCCTCACTTGTGGAAATCCTATCACTGCTCGGCTGCGGACCGTGAGCGGGAGCTTGGCCTACCTGCGCCTGTTGTGAAGGGAGCTCCTTGCAGCTCAGAAGCAGCGCCCTGCTTTCCCCTGACCGTGAGCTGGAAGGGCGAGGGTTCAGGCTTAGTCCTGTCGCCTGCCATTGTGCAGCAGCAGCAGCAGTTGCGTCACTGCCAAATTGCAGCAAATCAAATCCAGGTAACAGAGATGGCAGCAGGACCTTCCCTGGTCAGTAGATGGGAGTATCCATAGGTGACTACGGGGAATGCCATTGCTTAAATTATGAGTAACTTCATTGCCAGTGTGATGTCCCTACTCTTCACTATTTTAGCAGGATGGGTCATTCTCTCCTCCCTGATTTCCTGGCCTCAGTCTGCGTCTGCACTCATCTTTGCACCTGGAAATCCAAACCCTGTCACGACCTCCACATTTTCTCCCTCTATTTAATAACAACAACAACATTTAACTAAATGCTACATTAACTGGTAACGACAACTGGAACGGAATATGGATTATGAGATTGGTTATGATTCTGATGTGACGGAGCGGATTAGTTAGTGTAATTTAGATTAGCTTGTTTTTTGATATGTTGATTTCTTGTTGTGCCTTATTGTAAACTGTTTTTATATGTTGTACACCGCCGCAAGTCGCCCTAGGGCTGAGAGCGGCGGTCAACAAATGCAATAAATAAATAAATAAATAAATAAATAAACAACAACAATAATAATTTGCCAATTATCAATCAGTCTGGTTGCCATCATCTTGTTTTTTGTGATTTCACTGCAACCCAGTTTCTACCCTTCCTTCTTTCACCTTGGTTGGAAGGCTCCTCAGCTCCTCCTCACTTTCAGCCATCAAAGTGGTATCATCTGCATATCTAAGGTTGTCAATGTTTCTTCCAGCCATTTTCACCCCAGCCTTGCATTCATCGTGCAAATGGCCGTACATTGTCACAAGGCTGCCAGGAATGGGTGAAATGTACATTTTCAATGTAATGTCGTGGGCTTTCATGGCTGGAATCCCTGCATTGCTGTATGTTTTTCGGGCTATATGGTCATGTTCTAGAAGCATTCTCTCCTGACGTTTCGCCTGCATCTATGGCAAGCATCCTCAGAGGTTGTGAGGTCCATAGATGCAGGCAAAACGTCAGGAGAGAATGTGGTTGTTGTAGGTCTTTTTGGGCTATATGGCCATGGTCTAGAGGCACTCTCTCCTGACATTTCACCTGCATCTATGGCAAGCATCCTCAGAGGTAGTGAGGTCCAACAAATGTTACATTCAGTAAAGGACAAGAGCTTCATTACCTCTGAGGATGCTTGCCATAGATGCAGGTGAGTCAGGAGAGAATGCTTCTAGAACATGGCCATATAGCCCGAAAAGACCTACAACAACCACATTCTCTCCTGACATTTCACCTGCATCTATGGCAAGCATCCTCAGAGGTTGTGAAGACCATAGATGCAGGCAAAACATCAGGAGAGAATGTGGTTGTTGTAGGGGCCTGAAGCCAGGAACCTCTGAGGATGCTTGCCCTAGATGCAGGTGAAACGTCAGGAGAGAATGCTTCTACAACAACCCAGTGATTCCTGCCATGAAAGCCTTCAACAATATATCAGGAGAGAATGCTTCTAGAACATGGCCATATAGCCTGAAAAACCTACATTTTCAGGTTCTATGTCGTGACGCACGATTCTAACCGGCAGGCACTTGTTGTTTTCTCCTAGGTTGTGTACTACACGGAAATGTACAAAATCTTTGGCGACTTAACGGAACAGATTGACGAGCCTGGCCTGACGGATGAGCAGAGGGAGAAGGAGAATGAAGCCAAGCTGAATGAACTGAGGGCCCTTTCCATCGTGGCAGATGACTGAAAACCCAACAACGTGCTGAAGCTGCAAAGGTCTCCTTTTCCTTCCAGATTTCCAAAGACTTGGGTCTCTGACCCAGACACTTTTGCATCGAGGCTCTTTTCATCCAGAGGAGTGAATCTACAGCAACCCTCCGGAGACCCAATGTGCATTTCTCGCACAATATAGCTGGGTTTCCATCACCTGTTGATGCCCGTGGCTTCCAAAGGCTGCCCACCAACTCTGGACATGGAAAAGACTTTGCAAACTACTAATCACTTTGCAAACTACTAATCAACGCTACTTTCTGTCCTGATGGGCTGAGCAAGGTGTGTTTGCCAACTTTCCTAAATGAGAGAGATGGGGCAATCTTGGTATTTGGCCACAATTAAGCCTCTGTGCCTTTTGAGGGCTACTCCGTCATAAAGTCAAACGTACATCTCCATCAGCCTTCCAAATGTAAGACCACTTTTTATTTTAGTCCATTTTCTGTGCCTACAAATCGTTAACGACTTGTGGCGGCCTTAAGAAAATGGGATTTTTAGGGTGAGATTTGTGAGGAAGGGGGTTGCCTTTGCCTTCCTCCGAGGCCCAAGATCCCTCAGGAACGTCCAAGGTGGAGTGAAGATTCCAACTCTGGTCTCCAGAGTCCTCGTCTAATGCTTAAACCACACCACGACTCCAGCTTATTAGATACTAATAATATATAATTATTATTTATAATTTTAATTCTACTGAACGGATTGAGGGGTGGGTGGCTGTCATGGAGGAAGAAAAGGCAGCATTCTTCCTCCCTCCCTTCTCTATTCCTTCCTCTCTCACTTCCTTCTTGATCTTCCTCTTTTCTTCCGTCCCTTTTTCAGTCCAACTTTCCAATCTTTCTTTTGTCCAACTTACCTACTTTTCATCTTCCCATTCTTTCTTTCATTCGTTCCTCCTTTCTTCTTTTTCCTACCGTTTCTCCCTTCTCCTTCCCTTTCATACACAAACTAGGAAGACAGGAATGTCCTTAGAGCCTCAAGTTGTCACCATTATCCCAACAGCTTCTGGTGTTATTTCTGGGGTTCTCATGGGGTGTACGTATGTGCATATGTGAGAGTGTATATATATGTGTGTGTGGCCTCTCCTGGTGGCACAGCGGGTTGAACTGCTGAGCTGCTGAACTTGCTCACCAAAAGGTCATGGGTTCGAATCCATAGAGTAGGGTGAGCTCCCACTGTTAGGCCCAGCTCCTGCCAACTTAGCAGTTCAAAAATATACAAACCTGAGTAAATAAATACTACCTGCTCTGGCAAGAAGGTAACAGTGCTCCATGCAGTCATGCTGGCCACATTACCTTGGAGACGTCTACGAACAGCTCTGTGGTTGAGAAATGGAGATGAGCACCAGAGTCCCAGAGTTGGATATGACTAGACTTAATGTTTAAGGGAAACCTTTACCTTTGTGTGTGTGTGTGTGTGTGTGTGTGTGTGTGTGTGTGTGTAAAGGCTGCTTACCTGTAACCGTGTTTTGCCTTAAGTCAGTGGTTCTCAACTGGGTCCCAGATGTTTTGGCCTTCAACTCCAGAAATCCTAACAGCTAGTAAACTGGCTGGGATTTCTGGGAGTTGTAGGCCAAAAACATCTGGGGACCCCAGGTTGAGAACCACTGCTCTTTGCACATGTTATTTCCTGCCTCTGAAGCTGCCTGCACAGGTGATAACATATGTGAGTATTTCACAGGGACCACAATGGAGAAATATGTATGTGTGTGTGTGTGTGAGAGAGAGAGAGAGAGAGAATGAAAGGGATCAGGAACAGCAAGGGAGCCAGTTGTCCTGACCAGCTTCCTGCACCAATGCTGCCTCTCCAAACCTCTGCCGTCCTTCTGTATGCCCCCCCCCCCCACACACACACACACACACTCTGCCCAGGGTTTTCTTTGTTAAGGGAGCAGATGGGGCCCAGGGTGGCAGCAGCTCAGAGAACCTGGCTCCCCCTTTTCTCTGTGTGTGGGTGCTGCTTGCTGCCATCAGAAGAGGCGGCAACAGCGGCGAGGAGACAAGGAGATGGGAAGAAGCCGCCTGGCTGGCCTGTGTGCTGGTCCTCCTCTGTGGGCTGCACAGTGGATGGGTCTCCTCCAAACCAAGCTAGACAATTTGCGTTGAACTCCTTGTTGGGCTTGGCCTCGTGTAAGCTGCTCTGAGTCCCTTGGGGAGATGGTGGCGGGGTAGAAATAAAGTTGTTTTGGGGGTTTTTTTGCCTCTTTTCCTGTGTCGCCTTCTCTTCTACTGGGGATCGGGAAAAGTACAACTGTGTCCTATTTCTTACGGAAAACTTCTCTAGAAGACAGCGTTTCCTTCCTACCTGTTGTAATCTTTGCCATCGTCTCTTAAAAAGAATCAAGACTTTTGTGAAGCAGGCAAATCCGACTCTGGTTAACTGTCAAGTCTTTTTGTAACCTACCATTCCATGATTAAAAAACTAAAACAAAATGCAAAGCGTCTTGGCTGTTTGTCGGCTGGAAGGCAATGGTCTAGTGGCTGAGAAGCCAACTAGCTGAATGAGGAATGAGTATGGAGCCCCTCCGTTACAGGAACTTGAGATAGGCCATGTTTTTGGCAGGCCAGGCAAGGAGAGACAGCTGCTATGACTTGCATTTTGTGGGACTACAATTAGGTGTAATGCAAAGTCGCCCCCACGCTTGTGCCTCTCTCCTTCCTTTCAGCTGGCAAGCCGGCTAGTTCTGTGACAGCCGCTTCCCCTGAACAGCTGCAACGACACTCCAAGACCCCAACTAGGAAGACAAAGAGTTGCCACCTTGAAATGAGTTTAAGAAACATACCCACAGAGACTCTCGTATCAATGTGCCTCAATATAGTAACTAGGGGCCCTTCCACACAGCCCTATATCCCAGAATGTCAAGGCTGAAAATCACACAATACGAGGGGTGTTCATTAAAGATTTCCCCTGACCCACTTCCTGTGGACTGAGAACCATGAAACTTGGCCCAGTTCTGACTCCTTCTCTCCATGGGTGCCATCTATGAAGGACACACGCTCCTCCCATCTTTTGAAGCAACTGTAAACACCTCGCTTGGAGAAGTTGACAGGTTGCTCCAAAAGCCACGTTGTGACCTTGGAAATCAGAGTCTCACCACCTGAGAAAGGCTTGCCCTTCCAAAATAACTTCCTTGTTGGAAAGAGGTGGAAGTCCGATGGTGCAAGGTTGGGTGAATAAGGAGGATGTGGTAGGATTTCAAAGCCAGAGGAGCATGCTTCTTCCATTTGGGGCACAGGTGAGTTGTGCACTGGGGCATTGTCTTGCAGAAGGCAAAGGACACCTTTGGTGGGCATGCCACATTGCCTCTTGGTTTGGATGGCCTCCTGCAATGTCTGCAGCAGTGATCCTGGTCCCCTTGGCTAGGAAATCCATCCATCCATCCTACTCCGTGCTGGTCCCAAAATCCTGTGAGCGTGACCTTGCCTGCTGAGAGTTGGGCATGTGCCTTCTCCTGAGGTGGGGAGTCAGGAGGCTTCCATGGCATTGACTGGACTTGAGTCTCAGAATCAGAGGGATGGACCCCGCTTTCGTCCTCTGTGATCAGTCTGTGGAAAAAGTCCTCCTGGTTTCCATGGCACATCATTGTCAACACAGCCTGAGAGAATTTGCCTCGTTCCTGCTTCTGGAAAGGTGTGATTAGCCAGGGAACCCAGCAAGTGGAGACCTTATGCAGGTGAAGGTGGTCTTGAGTGGTTTTCTCCATGGACCCCTCTCCTCTTGACATTTTGGGCTAGGTGCCCAATGCTTATGTGGAGATTTTCCAAAATGGTGACCTCCCCTTGCTGGAAGGTGTGTTCCTCAAGAGCAGAGTGGGGTCGCCCTGGAATTGGAGCTTTTTGTGCCAAAGTCTAACCACATTGGAATGGACGATGCCCGTTCTTGACTCCATCCTATGATGGGGAATCATCACCAGAAACCTCTTTTCTCTTATCGACGCCTCCTTTGTTGTGCGGCCTTTCAAGGAAAGGAACTTGGTGACTGCCCTGTACTCCACTGGGTCCATTTTCCAACCTCACTCCACTTCCGCACCTCTAAAATCAAGACCGTTCTCAATTCAGAGTTGTAAATTGGCACGTAACTTATAGAGACTTCTATCATGACACATGTGCAGTTTCAGCATCCTGTGATAAACAGAAGTGGGTCAGGGGAAATCTTTAATGGATGCCCCTCGTATCGGTTTTGAACTGGGTGATCACAGTCCACACTGCCATATATTCCGGTTCAAAGCAAATAATGTGGGATATTGGGCTGTGTGGAAGGGCCCTGGGATTTTGGCTTCTGCTCCTTCTCCAATATTTTTAAGGGAAGCAAATCAACCTCATGAACACAGAAGGGAGAGCAAGCCAATCGACCGCACGTCGTCCCTCAATTGTTCTGTTACTTCAAGGTAACAGCGGGGAGCACAACAACACAGAGTGGCAGCCTGAGGGAGGCTACCTGGGTGACAAGTTAATGGCCCAAAGCAGGGAAGTAAACGGCCATTTCAAGCTCTCTTTTTTTTTCTACACTGACAAGCTGTGGGATGTTTACCTGGAACAGCACGTTTGTCGAGAGCTGAAGCTGCGTTTGCTCTGACCGCAAAAGAAAGAGGCACACGTTTCCAACTGAGGAAGAGAGACTTTTATAAAAGGGAACCTGGCCAGTTAAATACAAGTTGTTACCACGTTTACAGACTAAAAGCAACACATCCAGAAGTGACAGACCACCTGAGGTGGGCGAGCAGCAGGCGGCCAGGGCAGAGACAACCAAGCACTCCCTCCGGCGAGAAGGTGGCCCAAGGCCAGCCGCTGCTTCCTTCCACGACCCCACCGGCTCATTCTGCTAAAGACTACCACAGGGACCCCTTGGGCAACCGACCACCACCCTCCCACAGCTACTGTGACTCGCTTCCCCCAAATGGAAGGCAAGGCCTCCTTAGCCAGGGCCCTCAAAGCCCATGCCTGGTGGCCACGGATCTCACTGAAATGTGAAGGCTAACACGACACACAGCGGGGTGCGGAGCCATTGAAGCTACATCTGGCAAATGAGTGGTTTTAAGATGCCGGAAAGGCCCAAATGCTACAACCGGGTGCATGGAGGTGGAGACTCACCCGTACTGCAAACTGGGCTGTGGCATTGAATACAGAGAGAGGGAGCACAGGCAGGACCTACACTGCTGATTCCAAGGTTTGCCATCCCGCCCAGTTTGAGGACTTCCTTTGCAGCCTTCCAGAACCATCTTCTACTCAAAAGTGGGGGGGGGGGGGGGAAACAGAAGGGAAGCATGAATGAAAGGGGGGGGGGGGGAGAGTCTCCATGCAGCACAGAGAGGCAGCCGAGGCCCAGGATGAGGAAACTATTAGCAAAGGAGGTGAACTGAAAATGATCAAACTTGAAAAATCTGCCGACAGCATTGTAATCAATTCTTTCTGCTGCTGGCTCCTTAATGGGCTTCAGCAGAGGGTGAAACTCAGTTTGCTCTGCACCCGAGGGTACGCAGCCCTTGGCATCGGCTGCCCAGGCTCAAGTTTCCTTTTCTGGTGGCAGACGGCCGGAGAAGACCTAAACTGCCGCTTCTCCACTCACACAAATGAACCATCAAACCTCCTACCTAAAGGGCATCCTTGAAGAAAACATAAAAATAATAATAATGGGTGGCTCCGGCATATGAACTGTGAATCCCAGCCAGGCTGAGGGGAGGAGGTGGGCCTTTCCCCAATGGTGGTGGCAATGGCGGCATTGGCGGCATTGGCATTGGCGGCTTGGCACAAAGCCCAGCCCTGGCTTTTCACGTGGCAGTGAAAAGGGTTGGAGGTCTCCGAGGCCGCTAAACCCACAGCCCCAAATATCAAACCAGGAGACAGACCCTCCCTGCTGAGCTGCTACTCCTCCCAGGAACATCAGTTGCTGGAGGCTGCCGTCGGTGCCGGCTCCTTCTTCTCTAAGCAGGTATTGGTCTGGAAGAAGAGACAAAGGAGGGGAAACAGAGCCGTAAGAGGAATGATCAGGGCCTCTTATCTCCATTTTATGTTTGAGGCAACTGTGAAGGCTGCAATCCACCAGTATTAAAAAAAAAAAAAACCCTCTAAAATCAGGACAGTAAATAAAGAACAACACTCAAAAACAGGGGAATTCCAGACAAGAAACAACCAGGGCCAGCTAACGGTTCCTTGATTGCAAGATGTCGGGGTTCAGCAAAGTTGACGAGTATCTGAAGAATGCATGGGCAAAGGAGCCTGTTCCGTCTCCCCAAAAACCTGTGTCGTGGTACCTTTTAATTGCTCAGGATGTCTTCCTCTTGCATTTCTCCCAGGCTGCTGTAGCCTTTGCAAAGTCCTAAAAGCTTAGCAGCTTCAGAGGCAAAAGGCCTGCCTGCAGGCCTCTTTGCAATGATTGGCCTGGAGAGCAGCTTTGAGCCCGCCTAGCCCTGCTCCCAGGGAAGAAGGCTCCATTTGGGAGTGCTCCCTGCCTTCTCTCTCTCTCAGGAACAATGAAGAGTCCAGGTGTGCTAGCTAGAGGCCTGTTCAGGAAGCTCCGAGAAATCATTGCAAGTACTAAAATAAAACAAATATGTTGAGTAATTGAGACCGAGAGATAGAAAGAGTGAGTTATTGAGCTATAGGGAACAATTGAATACAAATAGAGAAGCTTATTAAGCTATAGAGAAATTATAGATAGATCAATAGAAGAACTATTGAGTATTTAGATAGATAGCATTGGGCATTTGCCTCCAAAGCTGATTTTGAGCTATAGATAGGAGAAAAAGCTGCTTTTTCTTACCATAGGGGCTCAAGATTAGGGTAGAAGAATTCCACAATTCATTATACCTTTTGGAGGAAAGCTGCCTCAATATCTATATATAAGAAAACTCATCTCTATATTTTACTCATTGACTGTTGGTAACATTAATAAGCTGAGCCAAGTCTACAAGGACTCTGTTAATAAATACCCTGTTTGCTGTTTTAAACCTGAAGTGGACTCAGTTACTCTGAAGGTTTGAGCCTCTAAAGAAATATCCCAGTGGTCCGCCCAGACAAAGATACTAGCACATCATAGTTTCATCTACAAGGCGTTTGGGTGTGGCGGCACAGAGCCTGTGGTCGTGGTCTCTTGTGCCCTTGGGTTTTGTAGCTGTCATACCACCCTGGGTCAGTCCCTACACTGAATGCACCACCATGGCCAGAGAAGCTATGCCATATGCGTATCCAGTTCCGGTTTGGGATGATGGCAACATGCCAGATATTCCCTCCCATCCCTGCGATAGATAAGGAAGGCCCGAGCCTCGACTGGCTGCAGAATCTCTGCGAATTACTCACACAGAAAGCTATCGCTCCCCTTTCTTGTACGGGTCATGTAAGCCGCACCGACTCCCTTGGGGAGATGGTAGCGGAGTATAAATAAAGTTTAGTAATAATAATAATAATAAAAATAACCACCTCCCAACAAAAGATTCCCCAGGAAAGAAGCAGCCAAGCCTTGTAGCTGCAAGGCTATTCAATGCTAATCAAGGTGACCAATTGCAGCATTCACACTTGCCTCAAACAGACGAGTTTTTTCTACCACCCTGGACATTATTCTACAGATTAATAATAATAATAATAATAATAATAATAATAATAAAGCTTTATTTCTACCCCGCTGCCCCAAGGGACTCAGAGCGGCTTACATGAGGCCAAGCCCAACAACACATCAATAAAAACAACAAGCAATAAACAAAAACAATAAATACAATATAAATCACATATAAACAATAACTAAAAAACAATAACTCACAAGGACTTAAAAACCTATGGTTGGGCCAAATGTAACAGTTTAAAAATTAAAAAATAAACGCTGGGCATGAACAAGGTAGGATGTAACTGGTATAAGGTTTTCAAAGAGAGATGAGGGAACACAGTCAATCCTAATCACCTCCCAACAAAAGATTCCCCAGGCAGGAAGCAGCCAAGCCTTGTAGCTGCAAGGCTATTCAATGCTAATCAAGGTGACCAATTGCAGCATTCACACTTGCCTCAAACAGACGAGTTTTTTCTACCACCCTGGACATTATTCTACAGATTAATAATAATAATAATAATAATAAAGCTTTATTTCTACCCCGCTGCCACCATCTCTCTCCCCAAGGGGACTCGGGGTGGCTTACGTGAGTGAGGCCAAGCCCAGCAATACAGTAAAACAATATAACAGAAGAACACAACAGAAAATAAGAAAATATAAAATAAAATAAAATACAAAAGCCAATAGAAATAAACAGAACAAACAATATAAAGTCAGAACATTAAAACACAGAAATTTGATCAAACTGGGCAGGGCCAATTGCAAAAGAATAAAATCTAAAACACTGGGTGAGAGAGCAATGTGATGTGTTGGAGAAGGGATCCAGGGGATAATAAGGTAGGGTTTAATTGCACTCACAGGGAAAATAAAGTGCATCTGGGGGCATTTTCTGCAGGGATTATTGTACATGCAGCCAATGAATATAAACATCACTTGTGTCGTTTCCAATAGACCCCACAATCTCTGAAATTGCCTGCTTACGGAACATAGCCATACAGCCCAGAAAACTCACAGCAACCCAAATCCCAATACCTCTGAGGATGCCTGCCATAGATGTAGGCAAAACGTCAGGAGAGAATGCTTCTGGAACATGGCCATACAGCCAAGAAAACTCACCGCAACCCACAAAGGATTCAGATTTAGCAGTTGATCTCACAGCATGAAATCACAATTAGAGAAGGATAATAAATAAATAAATAGATAAATAAATATAAAATAAACGACTCCGGACCAGTTTACTTGTCCAAACGGATTCTCCCCTACGAACCATCAAGGTTGTTAAGATCTTCTGGAGGGTCCCTGCTCTCGGTCCCACCACCCTCGCAATCACGTTTGGTGGGGACGAGGGACAGGGCCTTCTCAGTGGTGGCCTCTCGGCTCTGGAACTCTCTCCCACTAGAGATTAGAACTGCCCCTTCTATCCCGACATTTAGAAAGCTGGTGAAAACTTGGCTCTGGAATTTGGCATTTGATGAGTGAGTCAATAACTTGACCACGTGGACGGATGGTGATGAATTGTGATTTCATTTTGACGACTTGGCCTTATGTAATTATATGATTGCATTTTAATGTGTTTTATGTATTACTGTATTATGGGATGTGATGTTTTATACTATTGTGTATGAATCTTTGTTGTAAATCAGCCTGAGTCCCTCTCCGGAGGTCGAGAAGACCGGTACATAAAAGTTCTAAATAAATAAATAAATAAATAAATAAAAATAATAGTGGCCTCACGGGATGGGATTTCTCGCATGACGTCTCCCCTTTCTTGCCACTTTCCTGGCGGAAGACAGCCCGGGAAGTGTTTCATTGACCACCACAATCCGTTAATGGTCTCCTTTGCTAAAAAGGAACGCCTTCCAATGATTTCCCTTAACCCAGAGGATGGCTCCAAGTGGCAAGTCTGGCTGGTATCCCGCTGTAATTGCCATTTGCCTGCCTTACTCATGCTCACAGCAGATCTGGTGAAACAGTGGACCAAGGAGCCCCCTTGGGCCAGCAGGACTGCTGACCTAAAGGTCGGTAGTTCGAATCTGGAGAGCGGAGCGAGCTCCCTCTGTCAGCTCCAGCTCCCCGCGCAGGGGACATGAGAGAAGCCTCTCACAAGGATGGTATAACATCAGGGCATCCCCCTGGGCAACGTCCTTGCAGACGGCCAATTTTCTCACAAAAGAAGCGACTTGCAGTTTCATTCTTTCCACAATCCTAAAAAGACAGTTCTAAAGTTTCTCCTGACACAAAAAAGTGAAACAAACACACATGTGGACAATTTCAACAGAAAGGAGGAAACCCTGAAAATGAACAAAATCTGGCTACCAGTATTAAAAAAACTCTAAAATTGCAACAGCAAAACAACAGAGGGGAAACAATCAGGGACATCTAATCACCTCTCAACAAAAGTTTGCTCCAGGCACAGTCAGGCTATTGTATGCTAATCAAGGTGGTCAGTTGAAACATTCACACCTAGCTCCAGCAGAAAAGAGTCTTTTGTCCCACCCTGGTCATTCCACAGATATATAAACCCCCTTTATCCTATTTCCAACAGACCTCACTACCTCTGAGGATGCTTGCCATAGATGCAGGCGAAACGTCAGGAGAAAATGCCTCTAGAACATGGCCATACAGCCTGAAAAAACCTACAACAAAGACATCTAATCACCTCTCAACAAAAGATTGCTTCAGGCACTGCCAGGCCATCAAATGCTAATCAAGGTGGTCAGTTGAAACATTCACACCTAGCTCCAACAGACAGGAGTCCTTTGTCCCACCCTGGTCATTCCACAGATATATAAACCCTTTTTCCTAGTTCCAACAGACCTCACTACCTCTGAGGATGCTTGCCATAGATGCAGGCGAAACGTCAGGAGAAAATGCCTCTAGAACATGGCCGTACAGCCCGAAAAAATCTACAACAACCCAAACACACATTTTGTCTCCATCCAGTCCCATGGATCATAACATTCTTCCAACAGGGAACATGAAAATGCCCCCCTTTCCTAGAATAGCAAAATATCAGAGCATGGCAATAAATGGCCACACCACTGCAGCCCCGTTTCATAATATCAGCATTCTTAGTTTACCAAGCCATGTGAGTTAAGAGAATCTGCTTGAAAAACCATCCTGATGACACCAGACAGAAGCGGAGCCAGCTAAAGCATCCTCCTCGGCTCCTCCCTCGGAATACCTTCTCAATGATCTTCTGGATTTCCAGCTGCAGAGGAGCCAGACGCTTCTTGTTCTCTTGCAGCAACCTCTGAAAATTGTTTCTTTGCCTCTCGGTCCCTTTCGACTGCTCCTCCATCTCGGCGAGGCGCTTCTGAAGCTCTTGCACTTCCAAGGTGAGCGCCTTGTTGGAGGCCTCCGAGGAGGAGAAACGAAGCTGGGTCTCTTCTGAAAGGGGAGAGAGGAGAACGGAATCAGCCTCAAATAGTTATTCATTCCTTCATTCATTCATTTACTTCACTTTGATCCCGCCCGTTTCAGCCCAAAGGCGACTCAGGGCGGCGTACATATTGGCAACCATTAGATGTCATCTATAAATACATACATCGGTTAAAAGCAAATAAATCACATCATAACACGTGTAAGAACCATAAAAGCAATAAAAAAACAATAAAAATCATAAAACTATTATAAAACGATGTCTTCCTGTTCCGTTCCTCATCCATTTACATCGTCTTAGCCCTTCCTTGTTCATATTCCAATTTGAGTTTATTTGGTCATGCTGAAGTTCCAAACGCTTGCTCAAAGAGCCAAGTTTTCACTCCTTTCCAAAAGGTCAGGAGGGAGGGGGCCCATCTAATATCTCTGGGAAGGGAGTTCCACAGCCGAGGGGCCGCCACTGAGAAGGTCCTGTCTCTCGTCCCCGCCAAACGTGTGGGCTCGAGAGCAAGGCCTCCCCAGACAATCTTAACTTCCTAGCGGGTTCATAGGGAGAGATGCGTTTTGGATAGATAAGCTGGGCCGGAACCATTTAGGGCAGGCATCCTCAAACTGCGGCCCTCCAGCTGTTTGGGTCTCCAACTCCCAGAATTCCTGGCCAATGAACAAGCTGGCAAGGGCTTCTGGGAGTTGGAGACCAAAACAGCTGGAGGGCCGCAGTTTAAGGATGCTTGATTTAGGGCTTTATAGGGCTGAATTGTGCCCGGTATCAGACTGTCCGCCAGTGGCGCAACAGAGGAGTTGTGTGCTCCCTGAGGCACCCAGGCAGTGCAAGCGCCCAGCCAAGCCACGGAGGAGCGCCCATGGCCTTGAACCCAAGCAGCTGGAGAGGAGTTAGAAAGAAGAGCCAATAATCAAAGTCAGCAACATCACAGGGACATGGTGGGTACAATCTGGGAGAAGAGGCCATTGTTATATCCATCTATAATACATTATATTATACCAACTGCTGCTCTGAGATCAAAATGAAGAGAGGGGCCAGGAAGGCAGTTCCATCTTGCCTCCAGTATCATCAGTTGGGAGCTCTGAGATCTTGATCAAATGCCTTCTTGTCTCCTGCACTGTGCTTGAGATCTTCCGGGGAGGCCCTGCTCTCGATCCCGCCTGCGTCACAGGCACGGCTGGCGGGGACGAGAGATAGGGCCTTCTCGGTGGTGGCTCCTCGGCTGTGGAACACCCTTCCCGTGGACATCAGGCTAGCCCCCTCCCTGTTGATATTCCGCAGGAAGTTAAAGACCTGGTTGTTTAAGAAGGCATTTGATCAAGAAGTGCAATGACTGGTAATTTGACCTAGGAATGGAACAACGGAAATGATATCGGATTGTGGGTTTGACGATGAGACGATTCGGAATGTAGTAGAAATTTTGTAGTATTGTTGATGTTTGATAAGATGTTTTTGATAATGATGATTGTGGATATCTTGCACTATGTCTTGTAATTTGCACCTGTTTTTATGTTGTACACCGCAATGAGTCGCCCTCGGGCTGAGAATTGCGGTATATAAGAGCAGTAAATAAATAAATAAATAATATAATATAATATAATATAATGTAATATATTGTATACTAGCCATCCCCTGCCACGCCTTGCTGTGGCCCACATGGGGGTTCTGTGTGTGGAGTTTGGCCCAATTCTATCATTGGTAGGGTTCAGAATGCTCGCTCGACGAAGGCTATATGTAATTAATTAAAAGAACCTGTCTGCTAAGACAAGATATAACCGTGTGCTGTGGTAAGTTTGTAGTGTCATCTAGACTGGAGGGGAAAACAATAGTCAAACTGACAATGGCCGGGCATGTGCTCAAGTTAGGACATTAAGATCGTCTGAGGCCCTGCTCTCAGTCCCGCCAGTTTCACAAGCACGCCTGGCGGAGACGAGAGACAGGGCCTTCTCAGTGGTGGCCCCTCGGCTGTGGAACGCCCTTCCTGCAGACATCAGATCGGCCCTCCTTACTGACATTCCGGAGAAAAGTGAAGACCTGGCTGTTTGAACAGGCATTTGACTAAGCAGTGCAATTGATTGATTAGCGGAACATGGAATAATGGATAACGAGACTGGATTCTGATTCTAGTGATGAGACCTGATGGATTTGTTATATTGATGTATTGATATATTGCTGTATTGATGTTTACTGTTCAATTAACTTGTTATATGATTGCTTTTCAATACCCAATAATCTTGTATTCTGTATACTGAAACCGTTGCTGTTAACCGCTCTGAGTCGCCTAAGGGCTGAGAAGAGCGGTATACAAGTAAAGTAAGTAAATAAGTGTCTGTGAAAGGTTCCAGAGTGACTGCAGGCTGTGGGAGCAGTTGACTGAAAAATACTGTGAAGGAAGAAGCTACTGGGAAGCGCTGAAGTTGTGCAACTGATCTGCTGCTGAATTGTGAAGTTAATCTCAACAGATTCTATGGTTCTATGAAATATCTGTCTATTGATTTATTTACCATATTTATACAGGGCCCCTCTCAGCCAGAGGCGGCTCGGATATTTATCTATCTCTACAGCAGAAGAACATCTCAAGAACATACAGATTCAACCGCTGCCTGCCATCAAGTCAGTGTAGGCCAGCCAAGGGCAAACTGGGGTCAAAGCTCCCGGATGCCCTGCTCTTTGCTGGAGAGAAATAATAATAATAATAATAATAATAATAATAATAATAATAATAATCCTAACATCTCCCGAAGGACTCGGTGCAGCTTACAAGAGGCCGAGGCCCAATACAGCAATAAAACAACAGCATAACAAATACAACAATAAATAAACTCATAAAAACAAAACAATAAGCATTACAAGACTAGCAGTAAAATATTGAAATATGTGTATGCAATAGATTTAAAAGAAAACTGGATAAAAATGTTCCACAGATGGTATACCACTCCAAAGAAATTATCTCTAATGAACAAAAATTATTCTGATAAATGTTGGAAGGGTTGTCATCAAAGAGGCACTTTCTATCATATGTGGTGGACATGCAAAGAAATAGAGAAATATTGGTCGATGGTACATGAGGAGACACAAAAAATCCTGAAGAGAGTATTTAAGAAGAAACCAGAATACTATCTATTAGGTTTTACGGATTTGGAATTACAATTAGATGAGAATGAAGATAGACTATTTACTTACATTACGACAGCGGTGAGAATATCTTTGGCAAAACTTTGGAAGCAGGAAGACATTCCTACCATTGAAGAATGGTTAGGGAAAGTAAGAGAAATAAGAGAAATGGACGAACTAACTTTTTTCTTGAAAAAGAATACCGGGAACCCGATAAAGAGGACAGATTGGACTCTATATGAAAACTACGAAAAAGAAAGAAGTAAATAAGAGGAATATTTTGATGTGGATATAACGGGAACATTACTGAGGACACAACACCTGATGGAGAGATGGAAGTCAATTTTTATCTTATTTTTTCTCATTTTTGTCTTCATTTTTTTAGTTTTTTAGTTTTTGTACTTTTTGTATTTTATTTTTATTGTTGTTGTTTTTTACTTGTGAGGGTTTTTTTAATTTTCTGTGGACTTGGGGGAGGGGGGTGCTTCTCTGTTTTTTTCTACTTTGCTATCCTCTTTTCTAATATTCACCCTCTCTCGCTGTTATTTTTAAATACCTTAATAAAAACTATTTGAAAAAAAAGACTAGCAGTAAACATTAGACAACAACACCACAACGCATTTAAAACTAAGGCCAGGCCAAATATAATGATTAAAAAAATTTAAAATGCTGGACACGACAGGTGAAATGGAAAGGTTTTTGGAGACAACCGCTGCTCCAGTTGCCTCTGAAATCATCTCCAGGGACTCAAAACATTCTGCGTTGGTGCACGTTGTTGGGGCAAATATGTGCAGCTCACCCAGTTTGAGTTCCAGTGTGTGGATTTTGGTCTCCAGGTAGAGGCGGCTGCTTTCTGTCTGCTCGGCCTTCTCCAGCAGTTTGCCCACGTTGAGGACGGCGCCGTTGTGCACGACCAGGTCGCCAGACTGAGATCCTGAGACGGATTTGGTCGGAGCGGCAGTTGCAGAAGAGGGAGGAGGAGGAGGCAGCAGCGGGAGGTTCCCTGCAAGGAGGAAGGAGGCAACCGATGCTCCAATTGAAACACAGAGACTGGGAATAGGGAAAGTGTCCCTATTTCATACTGTCCTGATTTTAGAGTTTTTAAAAATACCACTGAAATCCACAAGAAGCATGTGGTCGATTTCAACAGAAAGGAGGAAACCATGTAAATGACCAAAATCTGGTGACCAGTGTTTTAAAAAAACCCTAAAATTAGGACAGTAAATCAAGAGCAACACTTTGAAAACAGGAATTCCAGACATGAAACAATCAGGGCCAGCTAACACCTCCCAACAGAGGATTCCCCCAGGCAGGAAGCAGCCAGGCCTTGAAGCTGCAAGGCTTTGCAATGCTAATCAAGGTGATTAATTGCAACATTCACACTTGCCTCCAGCAGACAAGAGTTCTTTCTCCCACCCGGGACCTTCCACAGATATATAAACCCCACTTGCTTAATTTCCAACATCGCTCACAACCTCTGAGGATGCCTGTCACAAATGTGGGCGAAATGCACGGACATTCTGGAAAAATGGCCATACAGCCCAGAAAACTCACAGCAACCCAAAGCTTTTGTGATTGTTTTAAGATTGGACTCTGCATGTTTGCCTCCTATGCTCTGAATTTTTTACAGCCACATCACACGGCAATTCACACTCTGCTCGCTAACAGGATGGATGCTCAACTTTGGTGTCCTGTTTTGTTTTTGGATGCTCTGCTAATTTTAGGGCAGGTAAAGTTAAAGGTTTTCCCTCGACATTGAGTCCAGTCGTGTCCGACTCTGGGGGTTGGTGCTCCTCTCCATTTCCAATCCAAAGAGCCGGAGTTGTCCGTAGACACCTCCAAGGTCATGTGGCCAGCATCATGATGTGCCGTTACCTTCCCGCCGAAGCAGTACCTATTGATCTCATGTTTGCATGTTTTCAAACTGCTAGGTTGGCAGGAGCTGGGCCTAACAGCGGGAGCTCATCTCGCTCCAGATTCAAACCGCTGACCTTTTGGTCAGGAAGTTCAGCAGTTATTATATTATTATTATTATTATTATTATTATTAACTTTATTTATACCCCGCAAACCCGATGCCGCTTACAAAGGCCAAGGCCGCCGACAACAACAGCATACAATACACAACCCACTGTGCCCCCAATTTTAGGGCAGTTTTCCCTAACAGGAGTGTCATATCCCACATTTTCCTGCCCCACAAAGAGCTCTGATGCCCTCAAACAAAACCGACTTCTCAAAATAGGTGCAATGGGTACAAACTTCTCTGGGTCTCACTAGAGGACCCAAGCTCTTCTTGCTACAACAGCTGGCGTGCAGACAAAGGCATATAGGAAAGGAAAAGGAGCCCTGGAACTCTAGCAGGAGTGGAAGCATGCACAACTCAAAATGGAAGAAAGAAGAGAAGAGCCAGACCATGTCATCCATGAAGCACTCCCCCCCCCCCAACTGCCCTTTTTGTACCCACCTAAAGGCTCCTCGTTGGGGCCCGACTCGGCCCCTTCTTGCCGGCTGTAGCGGAGGCTGCGGTAACGGCACACGAACTGCGTCGCCACTCGGTTGACCATGCGCTTCACCTGTCCCCAGACGAGACACCCCCCTCCATCAGTGGCAGTTGGAAAGGCCCACAAACAGATTCTTGTGCACTCCGTGCCCATCAGAAAATGCCCCAAAGACTTCAAATCTTCCCACTCCCCAAAATAATAATAATAATAATCATCATCATCATCATCATCAAATCTATTGGGCCGACGCTCACCTGTTCTTTGCAGAGGTGCAGACCCAAGGTAAGAAGGATCTTCTCTATATCCTTCCGATGCAGGTAACCGCAGCCGTTCAGGTCAAAATAAACGAAGGCAAGGAGGGCATCCAGCGGTAACACGGCGCTTGGGTCCAGCCCTCTGGACTTGGGGAGGGAGGATAAGAAGGGGGAAAGAAAGAGGGCTACTCAAATTGCCAAGGCACTCCATCTCTTCCACCCACAGGCTACCTCGTTCCCTTCTGCTGTTGGCGACACTGATGCGCACATCCGGAAGGGCGGAAAATAAGAACTCTGAACATTTAGGAACACCCAAACTGGAGACGCCTGATCCCCAGGTTCCATGTTGTGCCCCCATGTCTCACCAACTTCCCATCCATACAGCAGAATCTCTCAGGGCCCCTCAGCAAAGTTTTATAGGAAGAGCTGACTTATTTATTTACACAAAGCCGTTTCCAACATATTCACGGCAAAATTCAATGCCTAACGTACATACGAAAAACCAAACATGAAACAACAACAACATATAACTACAATACCAATTAAATCATAAAAACGTAGTAACACTTAGACATTAAAACGTGAGGTTAAAAACATATTAGGATAAACATTAAAATCACATAAATACAAAAATCATAATCCAAGGCCATTCCAATATCAAATCCCAATTGCACATAATCCCTGATTGAACTGTCTTTAGAACAGTCTTTTTAGGATTTGTCTTTAGAACTGTCTTTTTAGGACTGAACTGTCATTGGAACTGTCTTTTTAGGATTGAGCTGTATTGCTCACTGCCCAAAGGCTTGGTCCCACAGCCATGTTTTTACTTTTTTCCTGAAGGCCAAAAGGGAGGGTTACTGATCTAATTGCATTGGGAGTTCCATAGACGAAGAGCCACCACTGAGAAGGCCCTGTCTCTCATCCCCACCAATCACACCTGCAAAGGAGGTGGGACTGAGAGCAGGGCCTCCCTGGATGATCTTAGCCTCCGAGATGGTTCACAGAGGGAGATATGTTTGGACAGGTAAGCTGGGCCGGAACCGCCATTCAGGGCTTTATAGCCTGAAGCCAGCACAGGAGCAGACTGGCAGCCAGTGGAACTACTGTGTAACATAAATAAATAGGAGCTGATGTTCACACTAGCTATTAAGAAGGATCAGATTGCAGAGTTCAGCTCCCTTAATGAAGAAGATCCAAAGAAGAAACCTCCATTGCACTCTGGGGCAGAGAGTTCCACTGCTGAACAGCTCTTCTCACAATCAGGAAGTTCTTCCTCATGTCAAGTGGAATCTCCTTTCTTTCCTGTAGTTTGAAGCCATTGCTCCACTTCCCAGTCTCCAGAGCAGCAGAAAATAAAGGTTGCTTACCAGTAACCATGTTTCTTCGAGTGGTCAACTGTGAAATTTACACAAGTGGTATTTCCCTGCGTCCATAGGTGTGGATTTCATAGTGACCACAGGTGTGGATTTCACAGTGACCACGCTGAAGAAAGTAAGGTTGCTTACCTGTAACCATGTTTATTCCAATGGCCAACTGTGAAATTCACACCTGTGGACGCAGGGAAATACCACAGGTGTGGATTTTACAGTAACCACGCTGAAGAAACAAGCTTGCTCCCTCCTCCCTAGGACTTCCCCTCACATCTTGATACATGGCCCTCATCATGTCTCCTGGTTGATACTGTCTGGTTGATACTGACACAATAAATAAATCATGTCTCCTCTCAGCCTTCTCTTCTGCAGGCTAAACATGCCCAGCTCTTTAAGCCGCTCCTCATAGGGCTTGTTCTCCAGGCATTTAACAGCCTAACAGAAATAAATAGTCAACAAGCGTGAGGGCTGCCAACACTAAAAGACTGAAATGGACCATAAACAAACAAATCCAAGAATCCAAAGTGACTAACCACATCGTGAAGTGAGGAGAACTCCATTTCGGACTGATTGGATGCGACCGATCTCACTTCAGCATCTTCCAGTTTGACACCTGTGGGCAAGGAAGGCAGCACACGCTACGTGAAAGGCCAGCCTGCAAACAGTTAACAAAGCAGCGCAGAAATGGGCAACGGAGATCCAACCCAAACATGGATGCAACCCCTGGCCTGGCAAGGGCTCGAGGAATCCATGGCGCTTAAGGAGCAGAGGCATTGGCTTGAAAGCAGAGTGGGCCTGACGGGCTCTTCTGCTCCTAGAGTAGGTCTCTTGGCAGAAATAAGCCCAGCTTCCCTCTTCGTCAATTTTTATGCTTATATTTTGTGTGTTAATCTTATGGTTATGTTGTTTTTACTCGGTATGTTTTGTGATTATTTTTTTTTTTGTCGTGTCAGGAGTGACCTGGTGTGAGAGAATTGGCCGTCTGCAAGGACGTTGCCCAGGGGACGCCCTGGATGATTTGATGTTTTTATCATCCTTGTGGGAGGCTTCTCTCATGTCCCCGCATGAGGAGCTGGAGCTGATAGAGGGAGCTCATCCGCCTCTCCCCGGATTCGAACCTGCGACCTGTCGGTCTTCAGTCCTGCCAGCACAGGGGTTGAACCCACTGCGCCACTGGGGGCTCCTATGTTTTGTGATGTTACTTGGGAACCGCTCTGAGTCCCCTCGGGGAGATGGAGCCGTATATAAATAAAGTTTTATTTATTATTATTTATTATTTATTTGTCAATACTTCTGGCTCCATCAGCAAGTTCCTGAGCTGAGAACGGCAGCCTCTCACCACCAACTCCAGAGACGCTGTCCATCTGGCCCGGGAGAGACGGCGCTGAAGAGCAAGCGTTGGAGGATTAGCTCATGGCCCACGCCAAGATATCATGTGGCGGTTAGGGCTCAATCAAGAGAGAGGGCCACGCTTCTAGCAAAGTCGGGCGTGGGAAACCATTTCCCTGCCCCAGAGGAAGAGCTACCGCCGGCTACGTCGAGGCAGAAAGGCTCCAGCCCTCTCAGAAGGCTCCAGTGTGCTGTTGCCCCCACACAGGCATCCATGAGTCTTAGTCCTCTTGGCCTTTTTCTTTCGCACCAAAGGCGCTTGGGAGCCCGCAGCCATTATTGGTAAGTCCTTCCCCCCGAGGGAGTAGCGGCACCCACTCAAACAAGGCCACCTTCAAGCAGGAAAACCAATTTTTCCTCAATATTGGCATGAACGCCATACATAGAACACGATTGGGACAAATGTCCCTCCCCCAAGAAAAGAAGACAAGGCGAGTCGCCATCATTGTCTGAATAATCGGCTGAGCATGAAGCACAGTGTTTAAGAGCAGAATTAGCTGCCATAAACACCAATGAGACAATCCGAATCCAGTCAATCTAATCAGGGAGTCCGATTAAGCTAGTCACAGAAGTGAAGGTTCGATTAAGTGGCGGATCAAAAGAACTGAGGCAGTGGCCCGCCCACCTGCTACTTATACTCACAAGGGGAGAGTGGGCGGGGCCAACCGCCAAAGTTTTCAAATCTATCTAGAATAGTGGTTCTCAACCTGGGGTCCCCAGATGTTTTCGGCCTCCAACTCCCAGAAATCCTAACAGCTGGTAAACTAGATGGAATTTCTGGGAGTTGTAGGCCAAAAACATCTGGGGACCCCACGTTGAGAACCACTGATCTAAAAGGTTCCGAAGCTGTCTGCTCAGGCGCAGAAACTACCATATGTGCGATTCACAGTTGACCACGATGGGAAAACAGCTTTGGCATGTCTGAGAACAGAAAGTAGCAGGGAAAGGAACCCAGAAACCCTGACTTTCCCAATTTGGATTTAGCTGCCGTTAAGTAAGGCCTCTCTGCGCATCGCGTCACTGCCCTCCCCACAACTCTGGCTGCATTCCCCAGAGCACCAACCGAAATCCTCCTCCTCGTCTTCTCTGAGCAGCAGCAGGTCATCCTCGAGGCTCAGTTCACAGAGGTCCTCGGTGGAATCCTTGGGCTCCGATTTCGCCTTCCCGCCAACTTTCTCCTCCTTGGCCACATTCGGCCCGTCCTGACCCACCGGCTTCTTTTCAGCATCCGCAGCCTCCTCCTCTTTCTATGGGAGTGAAAACCATGTCAGTAGGAGCATGCGCAGGCCATGCAATCTAGAAGAGAACAGAGGCCAGCTGGCCACGCTCATGTCCAGGAAGGAGAGTCACCTGAGCGTCCTTCTGGTCGCTCTCTGCTGCTTCCTCAGACTCGGGTTTCTCCAGAGGGTCTTCTCTGGCTTCGCTTTCTCCCTCCTTCTCGGACTCTGCCGTTTTCTCGGCCTCGGGATTCTTGGCCTCCAGTGGCTCCTCCTTCTCCGGCAGGGCTACCAACGCGCGGTAGAGCTTGTAGCCAAAATCCCGTTGCAGCATCTCCTGGAAGAACTCAGCCACCACGGCCACCTCAGGGCGGAGAGGGGACACAAAGGGACCGGTGACCCAAAGGTAAGGAAAGATGCCCACGTCACTTGCAAAACGACACGCCAGAAGCACAGAGTGCTCACATCTAACAAATTTCAACCTTCCTAAGGGCAAAAACCACAATGATGGGGCCATCTCCATGCAGCCTCCTCTATGCTATGCTGGGACTCCCCTGCCAAATGCAAACTCATTCCTCTTGCCAGTATTTTAATTAGCGGCTGCTTCACCTACATCAGCGTTTCTTAACCTGGGAGGGTCAGGACCCCTGGGGGGAGGGCGTCATGAGGGGTTTCAGGAGGGACACCAAAGACATTCAGGTGCAGAAACTACCATATGTGCAATTCACAGTTGACCACGATGAGAAAACATACATTTCTGATGCTCTTAGGAACCCCCTTCACAGAGAAGGCTGAAGATCTCTCTGCCTGTCCTTCTCTTTTCGGAAACAGCCAGCAAATCCTCCCACCAAAAGCCCTCCTCCGCTGTGATTGGCTGGCCTCTCAGCCAAGGGGAGGGCTCTTTCTGAGACTGCAAGTGGGAAAGGAAGAGCAGGTGTGCTCGGCACATGGCAACATGGTGCGCATGTGCAGGCGAGGGAGAGTGCGCGTGGTTGGAGGGAGGCTTGCACCAGTGAGTCCCTTCAAGGCATGGGGATTCTCTGTGGGAAATTTGGCCTAGTTCTATTGCTGGTGGGGTTTAGAATGCTCTTTGATTGTAGGTGAACTATAAATCACAGCAATTATAACTCCCAAATGTCAAGGTCTATTTTCCCCAAACCCACTAGTGTTCACATTTGGGCAAATTGAGTATCCGTGCCAAGTTTGGTCCAGATCCATCATTGTTTGAGTCCACATTGCTCTCCGAATGTAGGTGAACTACAACTCCCAAAATCAAGGTCAGTGCCCACCAAACCCTTCCAGTATTTTCCGTTGGTCATGGGAGTTCTGTGTGCCAAGTTTGGTTCAATTCCATCATTGGTGGAGTTCAGAACGCCCTTTGATTGTAGGTGAACTAGAAATCCCAGCAACTATAATTCCCAAATGACAAAATCAATCCCCGCAACCTGACCAGTATTCAAATTTGGGCGTATTGGGTATTTGTGCCCAATTTGGTCCAGTGAATAAAAATATATCTCGCATATTGGATATTTACATGACAATTCATAACAGTAGCAAAATCACAGTTGTGAAGTAGCAACGAAAATAACGTGATGGTTGGGGGTCACCACCACAGGAGGAATTATTTATTTATTTAAAATTTTTATATCCTGATATAAACTGTATTCAGGGGTTGCGGCATTAGGAAGGTTGACAACCCCTGACCTAAACTCTCCTAAACTAATTCAGGTAATTTCCACTTATTTTATGAAACTCCCACAGTAAAGATAACTCTTCTGAGACCGTTAAGAAGCCGGTAAGCCATCACTCAATTACTTGAGAGTTAAAAAGAGCAAAGGGGGCAGGAAAAGGGGAAAGAAGAGGTGCACCTTGGAAGTCTACCAGACCGAGGCAGCCTACCTCGAAGGAGAGCTTCTCCCGCTGCCTCCTGTACTCCAGCAAGGTGCAAAGGGAGAGGTTGGCGCAGCTGGGCTGACCCCCCTGCAGTGCTGGCTGTGGGGTTGCAATGATGGCAGGCTCTAGCGGAGGGGAGGTGGCGCTCTCAACACCTGGCTCCGGAACAGGTTCAGCTGCCTCGACTTCCTGTTCACTGGTTTCCATCTCCTGCTTGAGACCTGTTTCAGAAGATTGCTCAGCTTCTTCTTCCTAGGAAGGAACATAACCATTTCAGCACGCACCAAAAGAAGCAAAGTAAGTCAGGGCGGTGCAGCGGTCTGGGTGCTGGACTGCAACCCTAGACCACAGTTCAGCCATGGAAACCCACTGGGTGACTTCCTGTAAGTCATACTCTCTCAGCCTCAGAGGTCAGCAAGGGCAACCCTCCTCTGAATAAACCATGCCAAGAAAACACAACAACATTCTCCTTGGCGTTACCACAAATAACAACTTGAAAGTACACAACAACAAGAGAAACCATCTCTACCTGAGAAGAAGGGCATGTCAGAAATATTAAAAATTAACTCGGCATTTTTAATTACAAAAATGTGAGTCAAGCAGGAGAAGTGATAAACTGATAAAATGACTCCGCCAAAGCGGCAGTTCAATATAAGCAGGTGTGCCTGTAGCTTAGCAGCCCTGAGAGTGAGAGAGGCCTCTCTATGAGAAGTTTCTCTGTGTGTGAGTAGGCCTCAGTATGAGAAGGCCTCAGTGTTAGTTTGCCTTAGTGTGAGAGAGGCCTCAGTCTCTGAGAGCCCTCAGTGTGAGGTAGGCCTCAGTGTGAGGAGGAATGGAGTGAGAAGCCCTAGGTTGAAGGCCATGATTTGTGAAGCTCCAGTGTGAAGGCTGCTGTGCGTAAAACTACGGTGTGAAGCTCCTGTATATATTTGGTGTGAATGGAGCCTCTGTGAGAGCGAAGCTAGAAGCTGTTTATCTGCATGAGAAAGAAGCCCAGTGTTAAAGCAAAGAAGGAAGTATAAAGAACTGTATTTGTGTTATGGAAACCTTGTTATTGTAAATAGTGTAACCATATTACTTTACTACAAAGAAAAGCCTCCTATGGAAGAGACAACGCCTGGCGGGGACAGTACACACTCATAAAGGGAAAGGTTTCCCCTTGACGTTAAGTCTAGTAGTGTCCGACTACTAGACACCTCCTAGGTTATGCGGCCAGCATGACTGCATGGAGCGTCGTTTACCTTCCTGCCTGAGCGGTGCCTATTGATCTACTCACATTTGCATGTTTTCAAACTGCTAGGTTGGCAGAAACTGGGCCTAACAACTCTTTACCTAGAACTCTTTACCTGGGGAGATCAGGAAAGCCCCTTCACTGGAAACATTTAAAAAGGACCTCAAAACCTGGCTTTTCCGCTACGCCTTTAGCGAGTAGGTGCACAGCATGATATTTTATACCCCCTCAACGTTTTCGGCTAATGGAGTTCGTGCCCTCCAAATAGGATGTTCTGTCCCACAACTCTGTGAGTTTTATGAGTTCCATTTAAACTCCCTGCTCCTATTTTATCTCATCACAGTCTGTTAATTGTTTTTTTTTATTCGGAATATGTGGCCCGCCCATTATCATCTCTATTGTGATTGTGTCTATTGGAATGTTTATTTTATTATTATTACTATTATTTTATTATTACTTTTAATGTCATTTTGATAATGTTGTTGTTGTCTGTTGTATATATTTTGATTTTACTGCTGTATTATGTTGTCCGGGCTTGGCCCCATCGGGGAGATGGTGGCGGGGTAGAAATACAGTTTTTTTATTATTATTATTATTATTATTATTATTATTATTATTATTATTATTATTAACAGCAGGAGCTCACCCCGTTCCCCGGATTTGAACCATCGACCTTTCGGTCAGCAAGTTCAGAAACTCAGCGGTTTAACCCGCTGCACCACTGGGGGGTCCAACATACTCATAAGCAAAGACTAATGAATCATTTCAATCTTGAAGCGAAGCGGAATAACATTTCCAAGTGATCCACCTACAGTGATGCAATGACCCCAAAAAGCTGGCATAAGACAGAACCAAGTATCCCTTAACTTGACTCATTCTAGGCATTATATAGCAGGTTGCCAGAATCCACTGAGCCTTCTCTGCTGACCGGAAAGTAGCTTTCCAATTCTCTCCTGTTCTTACCATCCCTGCTGCCTCTTCTTGTGGTGGGGCAGGAGGAGGGGGCGTTTTCTCTGCTTTCTGTTTGCATGAAGCCTCCCATTCCTCCAGAGATGGCATGCAGCTCCAGACATCCGGCAGGAAGACCACGGTCTGCTCCTGATGAGATGGGTTTCCTTCACGCAAGTATCTGAACTCAGCAAACCGGAGCCTGTTGCACAAGGATTGAAGAGAGAATCCGGCAATGAATGTGGCCCTTCCAAAAGGAGGACTGTTTACATTTTGCAGTTCTAGCATTTAGAAGTGCAAACCCACCAGGGTTCTGCTTGAGTTGAGGAACAGACTATATGAACAGCTATTTTTTCATCTGTTCATAGAATCCTAGAATCCTAAGTAGGAAGAGACCTCCTGGGCCAACACCCAGTCCAACCCCATTCTGCCAAGAAGTAGGAATATTGCATTCAAAGCACCCCTGACAGATGGCTATCCAGCCTCTGTTTCAAAGCTTCCAAAGGAGGAGCCTCCAGGGCAGAGAGTTCCACTGCTGAACGGCTCTCACAGTCAGGAAGTTCTTCCTCGTGTTCAGATGGAATCTCCTCTCTTGTAGTTTGAAGCCATTGTTCCCTCATCTCCAGGGAAGCAGAAAACAAACTTGCTCCCTCCTCCTCCCTGTGGCTTCCTCTCACATATTTATCCATGGCTCTCATCATATCTCCTCTCAGCCTTCTCTTCTTCAGGCTAAACATACCCAGCTCTTTAAGCCACTCCTCATAGGGCTTGAGGAGTGGCTCAGACCCTTGATAATTTGAGTCGCCCTCTTTCTCTGGACACATTACAGTGTGTCAACATCTCCCTTCAATTGTGGTGCCCAGAATTGGACACAATGTGATTCCAGGTGTGGTCTAACCAAGGCGGAATAGAGCATGGGGAGCATGACTTCCCTGGACCTAGACACTAGGCTCCTATTGATGCAGGTCAAAATCCCATTTTTATAATATATATTTTTACTAGATTGGATACCCAGCATTGCTTAGCGTAATTTGAAAAAGTCAATTTTTAAATTGTACAAAATACATGAGGTTGCGGGCGAACTACAATTTACATCATGCCAGGTTAACCCCCAAAGACTCCATCAATACTTAAAAGTTTGTTATGTTGGGCAAGTTTGCTGCAGATGCATCACTGGTGGGGTTCAGTGTGTTCTCTGGCTATAGGGTAAACTACAACTCCCACTATGGTGAGTCAGTTGCCTCAAACCCCTCCAGTAGGTCGAGTAGTCATGGGGGTTCTGTGGGCCAAGTTTGGTTCAGGTCCATCATCGGTGGGTGAACTGCAAATGCCTAAAAAGGTCAGTTTCTCCCAAACCCCTCCAGTAAGCAAATTTCAGCATATCAGGCATGTGTGCCAGGGTTGTGTGCCAAGATCCATCGGTGTTTGGCTTCACAGTGCTCTCTGGATGTAGGTGAACTACAACTCCTAAAGGTCAATGCCCACCAAACCCAGTATATTCTATTGGTCATGGGAGTTCTGTGTGCCAAGTTTGGTTCAATTTCATCATTGATGGAGTTCAGAATGCTCTTTGATTTGGAACTATAAATCCCAGCAACTACTACTCCCAAATGACAGAATCAATCCCCTCCCCAACCCCACCAGTATTTAAATTTGGGCGTGTTGGGTTATCAAAGTTATCAACCACACATACGGACTGAGTTGGACATGATTTTATCTTGGTGATTTGGCTTATTTGTAATTTTAAGCGATATGTATTTTAACTCATTATTATGATGTTTTTAGATTGTACAATCAGCATTGAATCCTTGCTGCAAGCCAGTCTGAGTCCCTCTACGTATGGAGGTTGCGAAGATCGGGACATAAAAGATTTAAATAAATAAATAAATTGTGCCTTGTTTGTTTGTTTATTTACAGTATTTCTATCCCGCCTTTCTCACCCTGGGGGAGACTCAAAGCGGTTTACACATAAATAATGGCAAGATTCAATGCCTTACGTTGGGCACCGATACGATGCCAATACAAACAATTACAATAGTAAAACCACAATTAAAGAAATACATCAACAAGCATTAAAATAATAAAACAGTCTGGTCAGTCGAATTGCCGTTCCAGTCACTGTCCCTCTGAAATGCTAGAGACATCTACTGTCCAAAGGCCTGGTCCCAGAACCATGATTTTATTTTATTTTTCTAAAAGCCAGGAGGGAGGGAGCAGATCTTACCTCATTTGGAAGTGTGTTCCATAGGCGGGGGGCCACCGCCAAGAAGACCCTGTCTCTCATCCCCGCCAGACGCATTTGTGCTGTTGACGGGAGCGAGAGCAGGGCCTCCTCAGATGATCTTAGATTATGAGATGGGACATAAAGGTGGATGGGTTCGGACAAGTAAGCTGGGCCAGAACCGTATAGAGATTTATGGGTCAAAACCAGCACTTAGAATTGGGCTCAGAGATGGACCAAATTTGGTCCAGTGAATGAAAGTACATCTTGCATATCAGATGTTTACGTGATGATTCATAACAGCAGCAAAATGACGATTATGAAGAAGCAGCAAAAGTAATGTTATGGTTGGGGGCCACCACAACCTGAGGAACTGTGTTAAGGGGTCTCGGCATGAGGAAGGTTGAGAACCACTCTTCAAGAGGATTCTCAATGTATACAGAAACACATTTCTGGCCCTCACATGCGTTAGGAGTCTGGTTATGCATCCTTGGCAAGTTTCCCTAAACATTGTTAGTGTTGGGGTTCAGCCTGATCTGTGTGAACCTGATTCTCTGATTGTATTTCCAACTGAACAAGCCACTGAACATGTTTCTCTCCCTGAGAGTGTTGAAACTGTTGTTGATGCTGAGGTCAGTGGTGGGGAAAGTGAAACTGAACAGCCGGATGAAAATGTTTTGGAATCCAGCCGTGATAGCTCTCCACCTGGGTTTTTTAATGAGGACCGAAGGGAACAGATAYRMAGAGACAGGAGTGATTCACAGTTRCTACGAAGGTCAAATAGATTACAGGAGAGYCAAGGSVCAGGRTTCAAYGTCAAMYGGCGTTTCWWTGGWWTAAGGGGRRTCRTTCCGGGTYTKWSG